TCGTCGTCGGAATGATTGCTGGTAATTCGAAGCAAACGATGTAATTCCCGTCCGCGCGCGTGAATCTAACCTATTCGCTTCAGCTGATTCAGCTCGCTCCTCTCGTCTCGGGCACTGAGCAGTCGCCGTTGTTCGTTAAGTGCGACGATTCATCATCACACAATGTCAACAATTCGATTTTCGGCTCTTCAGTTCGCAACTCGCAACACCCCGGCTCCGAGGTCCGGGCTAACATCTCTCGAAGAAAATAACTACATAAATATGTCGACTTGTTACGTAATTTGTTTTGACAGATCGATCAGAGATCCATGCCGCCAGAGAGAAGCGGCCACTAGCGCTCCACGTCCACGTTTTCAAAAAAGGAACTATGTACCACGTCTATCTTATAACATTGTCGATCAAATTATAGCATTAGAATGTGGTTCGTGTCCGTGCTAATCGTGTCTTATGTATATGCCACATCCTTCTTTCTTTTTCTTTCTATTTCTCGCAAAACTTCATATTACATAAATTAATTATATATATTTTTTAAATTAAAGATTTTAATACAAATACATATTAAAATTTTAATACAAATACATATTAAATGTTATATGTTAAAGCTGATATCTGCATATACAAAGTTAGTATACAATCGTCGTAATTAATATATATCGCCACTTTCCGGATATCGCGAAAGTTGTAATTAATTAATGATAAGATTGTTAAATATCTCGCGCCTATTTAAACGATAGCGTTTCGGAGTTCGCGATCGGAACGTTAATGTAATTATAATTAATCATAAAATTGTTAAATATATCGTCTATTTAAACGATAGCGACATATATTTTAAAATCGAGTGAAATTTAATTAATAGTATATTTTAAGAGAAGATTTTTTTTTCAATTTTTTACTAAATGTTCTTCCATGATTTCAAATAATTTATGTCAGTCGATAACATCGGCATTCTGCAATTATCAATAGTTCAGTGAGAGTGTCGTGTCTGTATATGTGTGTGTTCCTCGTCGGTGATGTTTGTAAACTGTAGGAAACGTCAAAGGAAGCGTCCGGGAGCGTCGTACGATAATATGCAGATGAGAATTGCATGATTCATTGCTTGATTATTATCACAGAAAAATGGTTCGCACCGACTGGGACCGAATACTATCCGTAAATGCTTCGTCTTTAACAGACGAAGAAATCGAGGATCTTTTTCCCGCAGTGGTCCGATGTGACGTGGACGAGATCGCCGACACACACGGTCTGCGGACGCTCGTGCGATTATCACAAGAAATGTTGACATATAAAGATAATCAAGTAGGGAAATTATCTCTTATTACATATTCACTTATTAAATGTTTGATATGCTATTACTATATCGTTGTAAATATTAGATTTTTTGTTATGATAATAACTTGATAACTTCATATTTGTTTTTATTAAAAAGAAAAGTTTGCGTAGAAGTAAATTTTTCTCGTTAACATGTTGCGTTTAAAATAATTCTATTAATATTAGGTCGAGGCTTTGCTTCTTGAGTGTGGCGAATTGAAAGAAACGATAGCTTCCCTACGTCCAGAGACTGCCAAACGAAAGATCAAAGGTAGTATATATATCGTTAAGTTTGTATAAAAAAATTTCACATTTTTATATATATAATTTCATAACTTGCAGAATCTTATTTAAAAAAACAATTTCATACATATATATGTACACATATGTATGCATATATATGAGATTGGTTCTTTAAATAAGATTCTGCAAGTTATGAAATAAAATCATTTTCATCGATAATTTGTATGCCTTCTATTCTTAAATATTATTTACATGATGATTATGTTGACAGATCGTGGTATGGTTTCAATAAAACAAGAAAATGATAGTTTTACCAAAGTAAGTTTCTTTTATTATCTATATAGAGTATATCAGTTTGTTTAATATTTTGTGCAGTAATCTAATTTTGTTTAAAAGGATACAGATTTAAGGAAATATTCAGACACACAAGGCAAAAGTGAAAAAATTAAAACACTTATGGCAGAGCTAGAGGTAAAACGTTTTATTGTACATAAAATTTGTTTACACGAGAAAAATAATAGTAAATTTTATTTAGTTTTTTTTTGTTCTTTATTTTTTAGACTTTGGACAAAGAGAATGAGATTCTTAAGGAGCAGCTAACAACATTGAAAGATGAAATGGAGGATGCAACAGAAAAAATGAATGAAATGACAGAAGAGCTTCGTTCAGCTCAAGTAAAAACTGTGGAATACAAAGGTATGTACATATATGAATAATATATATATATTTTTTATGTAATGAATTTGGTGTTTGAATAAATGCCTAAATGTCACCACAGAAAAGATATTGAAATTGGAGCAAGAAAATACAGCTTTGATTATTCAAATTGAGGATGTAACAGCGCTACAAGTAGACAGAGACAAAATGTTGGATGAATTTGGTATAGCTATTGATGCTAGAATATCTGAGTGGAAGGTATTAAATAAATTTGATATAATGTTCATAGAATTTTAGAAAATGTGTATACATGAATTTGTTTATGTTATATAAGGGCGTACTGGATGAGAAAGATGCAGAGATAACACGTTTGAAGGAAAGCTTGTCACACTCTTTAATGCAATCGATTACATCGGCCAAAGAAGAAAATAAAACACAGATTGTCCATCTAAATGACGAAATCGCTCGAAGGGATACGGTTATCGCTGAATTGCAAACTAAACTTTCTGAAGCAGTTGTCGAGATAAATGAGAGTGCTGCACTTATAGAAAAATTAAAAGGAGAGGCACACGAGTAAGCAATATTTTTTTTTATTTGTTCTACTTATAATGTTTTTAATTATTTATTTTTGAAAGTTATTAATTTATTTTGTAGATCTGTAAAAAGTGACAAACGGAAAGAACAAAAAAGTTTGTTGAAAAAAATACAAATTGCAAATGAAAAGATCTCTAATTTGGAAAATGCATTGTCACAAGCGCAGGATGATGCCAAATCACAGAGTAGTAAAGTCAGGCATTTATATTTTTATATCTAATTTATAAAAAAACTATATGCACAGAGTTACTGCCTTTAATTTTAAACTATAAATCTCGTGTAATTTAAATCGCTGATTTTTTAAATTAAAAGTATATTGAAATTTTTCTTATATGCTGTCTATAATTTTTATTTTTGCTATTAAATATTTTATAATCATTCAAGAGAACTAAATTTAATTAAAAATTAACTATATATATATATATATATATATATATATATAAATATGTACTAAAAATGGCAATAATTCTAAAATACTCTATATATACTTGCTAAATAATATGTTAAATAAATTCTTATTTTTTTTTATAGTTATGCGAGGTATTATCTACGTTGAAAGAATATGAAGATGGAAATCAGGCTTTATCTAAGGCATTAAACGAAATTAAAGAATTGAAAATTAAAATTGATCACAAAAATGAACATATTGAAGATTTAACCAATGTGATTAATAAATTGGAGATGTTAAATTCATATCAAGAAATGGAGATCTTAACTCTTAGGTAAAATTTTTCAAAGTATTAATTAACACTCCTTATGTCCCCCTCCCCTCCTCCCTGAAAGAAATATAACATTATTTTTGCATGTCATAACAGAGAGAAATTAGGACTTCCAGAAGATGAGTCGATATCGATTAAAAGTATTGTAGCAAAACGTAAAGAGGAATCAAAGAAAATGGAAAAACTTATTCAGCAGAATAAAAGCCTCGTAGAGGAAAATTTAGAATTAAAATCAGATGTAAGATTATTTATGAAAAAATTAATGTATAGACACTTGTGTATAAAATACACATGTGTCTTTTCTATTTGAGGTATATAATTTGTAATATAAAAGAATGCTGTTTTAAAAAAATTTTTACTTTTTGTAGATAAGAATGTTAAAATATAAATTGAGTAAGTCTGAGAAAATATTAGATATTTCAGACAGCTTAGGTGATTCTAGTAATCAGTTTTTACATTCGACTAAATTAGTGGAATCGGAAAATATGCAAATATCTTCCAAAATTGATATTTCTGAAGTTAACCGAAATATTCAGATACTTATAGAAGAAAATGAGGCACTTAGAACGGGCATGCATGAAATTATGGACAGTATACGCAATCAAGATGGTGAATTTTCGCTAACTTTAACGGTACTTTATAGTATTGCACACATTTCCATTTCTGACACCATGATATTTTCTTCTGCTTTTTTTACTTTCTATTTAATATAATATATAAAAGATTAATATAATTCTTTGCTAAATCTGCTTAGTTTTTTACATTTTCTAATAATATTTGTTTTGAGTAGATACAGAACATTTCTATTCTTGTGCTTTTAATAATTGCTTTAAGAGAGAAAGTTAATATCTGCACATTTCGTGTTTTAGGTAAGAGTGAAGTGGAAATACAGTCCAGCACATTGGAACGATTATTGGAAGCTTTGGATGTTAGGCATTTAGCTGGTTGGTATCATCCAGCTATGAGATTGCAGGAACATCTTAATGTTGTACAGGGTAGTAATGCTGAATTAAGATCACAACTTAAATTGTTAAGGTATTTTTTGAATTTTGTTATTAAAATAATATTTTATATTATGAACAATAAAATGATTGATATTATCTGTTATCTTGATTATAATTTATAAATCGTCACGATACGTTTTACAGAAAAGAATTGCAAAGGAAGGATAATATTTTGCAAGATTTAGCAGCAAATAAGGATATAGATTTTGAAAAATTTTACGAGAAACATGGTGAAGATGAGGTGATAACAATGTATCTTGCAGAAATGAAAGCTTTGCAAACGGCATATAAAAATGAAACAGATGAATGGGAGAAGCAGAAAGACTTGCTGATTCAAGAAAGTAATGAGTTAAAAGATGAGATAGATGGTCTTAGAAAGCAATTGGAGATTTATAAGAAAAATTGGCAGATTATAGAAAATGGAGATGACGAAGCTCAAAAAGCCTTTGCAGCAAAAACGAGAGAATTTGTGGATGCTGCTAATGAAAGAGTAGTTATGAACAGGAAAAATGTTAGCCTTCAACAATTGCTTAATAAGGAAACTAACAGATTGTACGAATACCAAAAAGAGATAATTAAAAAAGAGGGTGATTTTAATAGAGCACTCACTGAGGCAAACAAATACAGTAAAACGTTGTTATCAGAGCTTTCACTCTTGCAGAGTAATTTATCTAATTCCGTGAGCGTAATAGTGCATAACGAATTGAAAGAGAAATATGAAGAATTGAATATGCGTCATCACGCTTTGTTAGAAACTGCGATGATATCTCCAAATTTCAATGAAATGTCGTCATTGAAAGCAGAAATAGAGGCAATAAGACAGGAGAAAATTCAACTTATTCAGGATTCGCGGAAAGCGGATGATTGCGTGAGCGACGATAGTTTACAACAAAAATTGAAAGAGATAGAAGCCAAGGAGTCGATTGAGAGGCAACGAGCTGATCAAATGGCTAGATTACTCGAAATATCACAAACACAGTTAACAAAGTACGAAGATAACGTTAAACAACTTTCTGTTTCTAATTCTGAGTTGCAAGAGAGATTGATTGAGGTACACAAGACACTGTCTAAAAATATAATGCTGCAGGAAACTGTACAAATGGATGATAACCGTATACATGAACTACAAAACGAAAAAACGAAACTTTTTGTGGAGAATCAAAGTCTGAAAAAAATGCTACAAATTTCTGAAGAGGAGGCTCGATTGCAGTATTCGCTGAATTCACTACAAACACTGGAATTAGATAGTCTGAGGCATCAAATATTGGATTTGCAAGCTGTGAGTGAAGATAAGGCCACTATCTCGAGACTTGATTTTGAGCTTACGAGTAAGAAAATATCAGAAATGGAATTATCTGCTCAGAAAACACGACTGCAGAATGAGTTGTCTTGCGTGCGACAAGAGCTTGATAATTCAAAAAAGAGATACGAGGAAATGCGTGGTTACGTACAAGATTATCGGAAACAGTGTGACAATCGTTGCAAGTAAAATCAAAAATTACATTTAGACATTATTTTGTGTACAAGAGAATATATAAATGGTGTTATATACGTAATTATATATGTTACAGGTATTATACAGATATCATATACTTTTTACAATGTCAATACGCGGGATCAACTTCCATAAGTACTTTAGAGAAAGTAATTACATTGGCTGCAAAATTAAAAACAGATCGTCAAAATATCGATGCAGAAATGCAAAAGACAAAAAAGTGTCATGAGGATATTAAATACGAACAGCAATATCTATCAGCTCGCCTTGAAATTGTGGAACGTCTAAAAGATATGCTAGAGCAACAAATTGGCGCTGGCAGCGTTCAAAATATAATGGAACATTATGCCGAAACTTCACAGCAAACCCTAAGTGTAAGTCTGAAAATATCTATGTCATAACAATGTAAAAATTTGAATAAAATTTGATTAAAATAATATTAAGTTTAGTGCAGCAATAAATATATTTTGCATATATTTAAAATGCTTTTTAAGTTACTATTTTTTAACTTTTACAATGCATCTTAATCATAAAATTTAATTTTTATTAAATTTATATTTTACTTGATACATAATTATACTATTTTATTAGAATAATAAAATTATTTTTGTAACATTTTTATGTTGCCTGCAGATTAAATTTTTTTTTATTTAATAAAAATTTCTATTTTATTTAGGATTTTAAATACAAAAGAAGAATAACTCATTTGGAGCATGAACTCCAAATTGCTAACAGCAAATTCAATGAATACGAGTCAGTAATAAACAGCATGGAACAAGATATGTTAAATATTCAGAGAGCTTGGTGTCCATTACAAGAACAACAGGCTCGCATTAATCAAATTACATCAAATTTGGAGGCAAAATCCATTCAAGTAACGATGGAAACTCAAGTAGTTAGTGTCCAAACGGATCCCTATATTTGCTGCTTAAGTAAAAAAACAGAGGAAGCTACTAAAGAAACCGATAAGGAAACCGTAGTTTCTAAAGATAGTAAAGAATATAGTAAATCAAGTGAAATTACAGAAAAGACATTCCGTGAAGTGGGAAGTAATACAGAAGAAACTGCCAGCTCGATTCTTAACGAGCAACTAGATCAAACACTGAAACTCGCATCGGAACGCTCCGCGATGCTTGTCAAGTGTCAATCACAATTAACCGAGTATAAAGCGAAAGTGGATGCGCTGAATAAAGCGATAGCGGAAAAAGATTCGCAGTATCAATCAAAAATCGCCACTCTGAACAAAGCGATCGAGGAAAGAGATTCACAGTATCAAGTCGAAGTTGACACTCTGAACAAAGCGATTGAGGAGAAAGATTCGTATCTTGCTCAAAAGCAGGATGTACTTGACGAATTAATGACCCAACCGCAAGTTGCGAATACCGATAGCGCTGACAAGTTGGCTTTGAAGTCGACGATAAATAGTTTACAGAAGTTAATTCAACAAAAAGAAGAAACTATCCTAAGATACCAAAATTTGTTGAAAGAAGACAGGGACGAACATAGTCGAGCAGCGAGTCGTTTTCAGGATGAGATTAAGAATTTGCACGATCATATATTAGCTATGCAAGGTAAAATCCGAAAGAGTGAAGATTCGGTTGTAACTATAAAAAACGTTGTTGAAAAAACGTCGACGTTCGATGGAATTACAACGAGAAGCAGCGCTATGCAGGAAGAAGAAATTGCGAGGCTGCATGAGAAAGTATCTACTCTCGAAGCGGAATTAAATATCAGCAAAGAACTGAGCGAACGTTGGCATCAATTAGCAGACGAAAGACTGATGCATATGGATCGTATGAGAGAAAGGTTTGTTTGAATGTAAAACCTTGTTTTTTTTAAATCTAATTAAAGTTAATTGAATGTTGATATGACGAGATATATTGCAATATAAAAGATTAATAAAATAATAAACTTACATAGCGAATGATTTTTGTATGACACATTAGAGATAATTAATGTTTTCTTTTCGTAGATTAGAGCAGCAGCATAAAAATGAATTGGAGAGCTATCGTGGCGAATTAAATAAGTGGCAATCTGAGGCTGACGTACTTAGACAACAATTATCTGAGAATCGCATGTTACTCACAAAAGGAAATATTTCCCTGATGAAAGAGCTGCAAGATAAGGATGACAAAATACACGAGTTAACTCTTGCTTGTCAGCAACTGCAGGTGCGTTATAATTTTATTAATTTATTAACTACATTTTGTTAATTTACTGGATTATATTCAGTCTACTTACCTCTATTTTTTACTGCGTAGAATGAAGTTGAATTAATAGAATCTGCAAACCGATCTCAACAAATGATAGTTTATACTCGAGGTGATATGAAAGCACACGAAACCGCGCACAGTAGTCACCGCGATCAAACGCAACAACAAAATCAAGTGGACGTTTTACGTCGACAGATTCAGTCTTTAATGGAAAAAGAGAAAATGTATAAGTACGAAATAACCGATTTGAAGCAGCAACTTAGTCGCAGGTAAGTTTTTAAGTAAAACATTTTTATTGACCTTTTCTTTTTTATGATATTTATAGGTTAATGATACTTTATGCTTGATTTATTCCAGATACATGGCAATAAAAACTCAGGAGAAGAAGATATCGCAACGTGAAACGCAGCTTGAGCGCAAAGTAACAGCTTTGGAGGAAGAGTTGCATAAAACAAAAACTCAGTTAGATCGTGAATACTTGGCACAAGGAGCTAAGAGGGCTAAGGTATGTGAGAAAATACTGCTATTTTATGTTACCGTGCTTAATACATTTCTCTTTTAACAGACCGCAGAGGAACTTTCGTTGTGGGAGAAACAGAAAAAGTGGCAGCAGACGGCAGAAAAATTAAAGGAAAAGCTTAAAGGGAAGACTGATGAGTATGAGAAATTGCTTGCAAATTATGAAAAGCTCCGATCTGTCGTTTCGTGTATGGAACGAGAAAAATGGTATTTGAGAAGCAAGCTCAAATTTGAGGGCGATACTTTATCTGGTACTTTATCAGGAAGACCCATTTCAAATATCCAGCGTAACACAGTGGAAGAACAACTGGAGAAAGAATGTCGGATATTGAGAGATCGTGTTAAGGAATTAACTGATCGCCTAGAAAAGGAGAGCAACGAACACTTAATGTTAGAAATAGCGGAATTAAAACGGCATAACGCAGCTTTGGAGGCAGTTTCTCAGGTTAGTATCCTCGTTATGCTTTATTTTTACTGCAAATGCACAATTTTTTGTAATGCTTTATTCAATGCTATCTTACAGGGTAATACATGTGTAATTAGTCAGCTTGAGAAGTTAGAAATGGCTAAAGATGTTCTTGAAAAGATGAATATTAAGTTAGAAAGTGAAAACTTTGAGTTACGACTTGCATTAGAGAGAGCGAATTCGGATACGCCGGGATTGCGAGAAAAAGTCGATCATTTGGAAAAGTACGGTTTCCATATATTATATATTTTCATATGCTACGAGAATAGATAGCGATAAATAATTAATATTATTGTTTGCATTGTTGTTATTACAGATACATAAAATTGTTAAAAGCAGAAAAATCTTCCGATTCCACTCCTAGATCGTCAGAAAAAGAACTGCCAGAGTCAAGCAATAAAAAACCTATTTTCGAAATGGAAAAAACGATATTCACATTGAAACGAATTATCGAGAAACTTCAGGCAGAAAATAAAAGATTGAAACTTAATTCCAAGAAAAATCATTTTATAGCCAATCAAGTAAATGTACAATCTCTTATTCGATATTGTGTAATGTTTCTCTTCTTTTGTATATTATCATACATGTTATTAAATCTAGGGAAAAAATATCGAAGGAGGTTTATTCCAAAGACAATACGAGGAATCACAGAAACGTGTGGTAAGTCTGGAGGCAGATTTACGATTGGCTGAACAAAGAGTAGCAATGTTAGAAGAAGCTCAGAAGGAAGATGACAATGGAGATTTCCGAATCTTAAAGCAACAGTTGATGCACAAATCCGAGCTTTTAGATAAGATGAAGCAGTTATTGACACGGGCTGCCATTAATGAGAAGACTCTGCGGCAACGCGTAAGAATTTAAATAATTCGATATTTAAAAGGTACCATCGAGAAATAATCTGTATTTTAATTTTGTTATTGTTATATTTTTAGGTGCAACAGCTGGAATCGAAGCAAACCCTGTCAACAATTCCCGAGTGTTATGTGACTCCACCTACGCCACAATAATGAATGTTTTGGAAATAAACTATTCATGGATTTGCAATGAAAAAAAAAAACACTTTTATTGAGACATAAGTACATATATTTATATTTATGTTTTTTTCAATTAAACATGCTTGTGAAGCCTTCTTTTCATTTCCCACGTAGTTATATACGTTTCTTTCTATAGTGTAATAATTTTATAATAATTTCATTTCGCATACATAGCAATTACATCAGTTTTTGCACATGCAGATATACAACGTTTATCATAAATATTGATACAATGGTGTTCCAAAATATCATAATTTTTTAACTTACAAATTCTTGACATAATCAGTTAACAAATTTTTCTTATCGATACCTTTACTTATTCCGTACTACTACGTGTATAACAAAAAAGTAAATTATTACAATTATTAAATGTGAATTTAATTAATTTATACGTTCTTAAAGCCTTCACGAGTATTCTCTTTAAAAGTGCCAGATTTACGGGTTTTTTCCTGTATGGCATTAAGAATGAACCAAGACACGGAGAAAACCCGTAAATCTGTTAGTACTTTTAAATATGAATTTTGTTGATCGCAAGATAATTGAATGACCTTATTGATTTTTTAAAATATATATCTCGTTGTTATATTCTCAGTCTTTTACACTATCGTTCATAAATAATTCACTTATAGATATAATTAGTAATTTATTTAAATATTTAGAACCTGTAATAAAAAAAATATGTATAAAAATTTTAAAATTTCTGTTTCTTCTTTTGTCGTGCGTTTCAACATATTAATTAATACTATTTTCAATACCTAGGATATATACATATATATATTAAAAAAATCAGTGTAAAATTAATTCATTAGTTTTATCATTTCTAAACGCATACCAAATATTTCATTGGGGCTCCAATTTTAAATAATTACTACGAAACGCTACGTTGATCAGCGTAGCAAAATTTCGAGACATGACATCATTTCGCGTCGCGGCGATCGCAGAGTCGCATTCGAGCTTTATTTATTTCGATTTCTATGTTCGATTGTCAGAACGTAATTGAACGAATTACTTGCGCCAGAAGTTATCGTAAATGTTTTCCATAAAATATTTACGAATATTTGTCATATACGTGTTGAATACCTCGTATAGTTAATATTATATTACACTATCTGATTTCAGCGAGCCGCTTTCACGTGTCCGAAGATCGACAGAAGTTTTCTTCCAGTTTCGCTTTATTTTCTCAACTGAAGCACAATTGTGGCGCTAGATACACGTATGTGCCTTTATTTTTTGAATTAATTATATTCCTTTTTGCAAAAATTTTTGATAACATCTGATTTACTATCTCGAGTTTTATTTCTATATTATAATATAGAATTATAATTGCCGCAACTTGAAGCAGGATTTATAGTTATTTTTTGATAAATGTGACTTTTCATTCATATACGCGTGCATTATACGCACACACGTGCATAAATAAATTCTAATTGATTACCCAGCGAAAAAACTAAAAAAATGTAAGTATGATCGCCCATTTGCAGTTTGCGCGTTTCGATACTTCGAGAATCGAACGGTCGCTTCCTCTTCGATGAATCTCGAAGTGCGGCCAGTTGTGGTAAACATGGCGCAGCGGCGGTAGAGTCGCGTTCAAATCGTCGTGTATTTCGGTATTTCTCGCGTAATTCTCGTGTATTGCTCGCGATTGTTCAAAAGAGGATCGTTGCCATTTAAAGGGAATCTCGCGCGTGAAAAGTTATCGCGAATGTTTTCCGCCGAACTGTCGGATATTCGTCGGAACGCATGAAACACAGTCGTACACAGTGCCGTGTGTATGTAAACATACAGTTACTCGCGTTATCGCCAAGACCGGCTTCGACGATTTGTTTCTACAATATTCCGCATATCCGCAACAGATCGAAATCCTCGTATACTTCATGCCGTTGTTCGCTCGAAATAGTGCAACGAAAGTGCATCACATGCGGTCATATGCGATTGTCGTCATTTTATAGGTATATATAATCATTCTATCAACTGCGTTTCTTGCATTCTTGACGTATTAAAGATACTACTTCCGAATCGCAATTACATACAAGAATTTTCGGTTAAGTTTCAATAAGCACGCTGTGCAAAAGATAAATATATGCTGCTGTGCGAGCAGTGCGAGAGAAATCATATAATTTTTTAAATCTTCATATCTCTGCAAAGGTAGCGATGTTGTACATAATTTTTTCTTATGCATGTTCTATATTTCTGTCAAGTTTGTTAAATAATAGCGCAGTAATAATTTTAATTAATATAGAAATATAACTTTATATAATACTAAGCCTGAGTCGATAAACGTGATACATTGCGTTACCGACAATCGGCTACATATACTGAAGTTTTCCAATTCTCACTGCTGATTTTACTTCTGGATCAAATTAATTTCCTGATGTAATCCTTGATTTTTCGTACAATTTTTCAAGCAATTACCAGTTTTTTTTTATCTAAATAACTAAATATTTTCTGTAGGTAGTATCATATTTAGCGATGTATTTACGTACTAACCTAAAATCTGATATATTGAAAAAAAATATACACGTATATAATAGTATAAATATCTTTAATATCCGAATTCGGTTGGACACTAATGCACATTATTTGGCAAAATACATACTGGATTTTGTCAGATGCTATGCAAAGTCGTGCTTCTCGTTCAAACAATTCATTGCACAATAGTGCTTTTAATTCATGTACATCAATACAACCGAAAATTCGATATAAATATATTAACATAAATTTTAATAATAAAGCTTAAGAGCATCGAATTATTAAACTGCTTTGGCAATTGATATTACGTACTATATTCAGTTTGGAACTGCGTTTTAAAGATTGACTGCGGCGCGCAGGAGAATTATAAAATTTATAAAAAAAAATATTATTTAGCATCAAAATCCGATTTATACCGTGTTGGCGGTTTCTCATTTTAGTTATTTTAATCATAAAACTTGATATATCAATTTAGATTTTCAAGTTAACTTATTATATTTCAGAACATATATAATAATACTCAGATAGCACAGATTCAAAAAGAATTCAGTCGTATGTCATCAATTCTGAATTAATTTTCAAATGCAAAAAGAATTCTCTTTCTAGAAGTTATGAAGAAGAATTCTTTTTTGCACCTGAAAATAAATTATTAATAACATACAAATGAATTCTTTTTGAATTTTCTGTGCTATTTGGATATACAAGGCTGTTATCCTTCGTAAAAAAAGAACTAATGCAGTGATAACACTACTACATTTCAGGGATCATTATAGGGATTGAATCGTAGATTACGGTAACATAATTTTGCAAATTGAAACTTCATAAAAATTGTAAATGTTATTCAATAATATTAATTATGACCACAGTGCAAAAATTACTTTAAAAAAAGAAAATCAGATGTTTTACAATGACAAAAGATTTATAAAATTAGAAACTTGGACGCTTTAATAGCATTTCATTTATTTTACGTTTAATAGATGAAATATTAAAAATTAGTTAATTGATATTTTTGTACAAAGATATCGATTTTCCGTTTATCAATTTAGTAGATAGCTTGCAATCCAAATATTGAAAAATTCAAATATTTTATTTTAAAATTAATTCATATTTTTCTACTTTTGAATTATATTAATTCATTCGACGCTGAATTAATATTTGAACATATGCAGTAACCGTGCCTTCACAACTTTTATGATGAAGATTGTGAACATGCACACACCTTATCGCGGTTATGATATAACCGTATAAATAGCGGTAAAAATAATTTACGTCAAAATTCGCATTTTCCTACGGTATACAATTTGCGTGGCTTAATATTATAATGCAAAGGTGAAAATAGAAGAAAGAGTCGAGGAGATTTCTATCGATTCTGAGGATTAATAATCGTTTTCGGGCTTTTGAAGGAAAGGACGAATGGAGTCCTCGTCCTCGCAGTCCGGAATCGTCTTTCCCTTATATTTCACACAAAAATTCGCGCATTTGTCTCCGTTGAAATACGGTCCGAACATCCTTTGGCATTGAGCGCAGTTTCGTAAACAAACACCTATACAAAGCCGGTTTGTACAAACTAAATATATATCATCTCGGCAACGATTTTTAATCAATGGCGTAAACATAACGTAGAGATTTACTTACCAACATTTTTCTCGGCATCAATGGATGCCGTAAAGCAGAGAACGAAAATCATGACAAGCAGTACGATGATTCGGCTTGACATGACTGAAACAAATGTAAGCATTAACTCTTTAACTGCGAAAGGATTAACAATAGAACATTGTAGGTTCGTCCAGCAATTATATCGAGATACTGGCAGTAAAAAAACAAGTTAAGTTCTCGATGAATAATCGATTAATGTTTGTGGCAGAGAGTCAATAACATTGTTATTTTGTGCTGATTAATGTGGAAATAGTAAATCTAGCCTGCACGATATATTTCAATGGTTTTTAATAGCAAAATTATTAATATTAAAAATTTTTTGAATATTAATAATATATGACTTGCCTCACAGCCAAAGAGGTATGCTTTAAAGACCTATATTATGAAAAAATTTTGATATTCCATACAAATATTGTCCTATTTTACATTTTTATTACATTATATATTGTAAAATCGTTGCTTATATTATATTATGAGCGTGAAACCTTGTACAGATATAAAAAAAGCAGTGTTGCGTAGAGTCAATAGAAAGGAAAGTAACAGTCTGAATATAAGTGATGTCTTACAACACTTGTACGATGGTATATTAAAACTACATTATGGATTCTATTCCAGCTGTCGACTGAATATGTCGGCTGAATATTAATAATCCGTGATCTAAATCACAGATCTTTAGTTAATGATTTAAGTCATGCATTACCGTTCTGGATCGCGCGTACAATGTCTACCGTTTTCGAGAGATATGATAAAGTAAATATATATTAAATGCTAATGAATTGCTCTTACTAATACTCAATATATTTATCTCTTCTTCTTTGCCTTGTGGAGCTTTATAGGGAAATAATAAAATATCAGTCTATTTATCTCTTCTTCATTTATTCTTTTCGAAATCAAATTAAGATTCGAGGCTGTAAAAATCAAAGAAAGAAGAGTTGATCGACCGCGAGGCTTTGGCGAAAGGCAGAAGGACGGGAGTGGCGGAAGTCGGAGAATTTTCTATCTGTATTGCAACCCTGCCCATTTGTATAACTTATCGCAAGGAAAAAGTACTCCGAAAAGTACAAAAAACGCGAAAAATTTTTTCTCCAGTACTTGTACGTCGTGCATTTCCTGTTTGCAATTAGCGTTCGCTCGGAAGGAAGGACAGAGAGGGAGACGACCGCAGTCGAACTCGATAAACTTTCAGGGATAACTCGGGATATTAATGATCTGTTTCTCTCTCTCTCTCTGTCTTAGCCAATAAAAAGAATAAAAAACTCGTAAGCACGTGTGTTCACATACCGTACGCGATGCGCGATACGTTTGATACCGTGAGTTCGCGGATGTCATCGGCATGCGATAATCCGGATGCGACGTTGGTCGGGTGTTATAGCGCAATTACCCCTTTGATCACACGGAAAACAATGCGTAGACGTGCTGTCTGCCGCGACACGTCGTCGTCGTGACGCCGACACCGAAGGCTCTTCATTAGTTCTTTCTTCATGCCTCGTGCCTCAAGAGAGGCACGCATCGTCACGAGAGCAGCGCGTCGTCACCACTTTTTAATATGTACGGTCATTTATAACCGGAATCTCTTCATCGCGCTTCCGCGTTCGTCTTAACGGCCACATTGTGCACGCATAAACATAATAAATATGGATGGAAGGTATCTTGGCTTTCCGTGATGTCGTCAGTCTCCCTCTCTCTTGATTTCTTTCTCTTTCTCTCTCTCTCTCTCTCTCTCTCTCTCTCTCTTTCCGTCTCCCCCTCTTTTACACCAGGAAGCACTTGAGAATCCAAGACCAAGGATCACGCGGACAGCGTTCGATATCGACGTTAACGCACGTTACACGAACAATAATGTTGACCGATTGGGGCAACCGATCGACCGGCGATCGCGGTGGATCTCTTTAATACGTGACGAACAGATTGACGTGAATTTCAGCGAAAAGTTTTCTCTTATCATTCGCGAAAAAGAAGAGACTAATTGTTAAACAATACTTAAGAGTATATAATTTTCAAACTTTTACCTGATCAGTACGGCAGCTTGAGAAGGTGAAGCTGTTGGAATTGTTAAAGGCTGACAAATGACACTGAACGGACTTCGCCGGTCTTATATATCCGTAAACGCGCCGGATTCAACCCTCGCGCTAGGGAAACCCCCGCTGCTTATCTTTCTTTAATTCGATCTCTTCAATTTCCTGCACTCAACGTATCGCAATAGTCTATGCGCTTTTACGAAAGGAGCTACGTGTTTTGTACGATTGCAATCAGAAATACTGTTGAATTTGATATACTTTTTTTATAAACATGCATTTTTACTTGTAGCTCACGATTCATCGTGACTTGAATCTAAGATAAAATTTTAACACATGCTATCGCATTTGGTTTATGTGATATTTGTTTTTGAAAATAACTCGTAATATTTTATAAATACGTATAATTTACACAACGTATCGCAATAGCCTATGCGCTTTTACGAAGGAGCTACGTGTTTTGTACTATTGCAATCAGAAATACTGTTGAATTTGATATACTTTTTTTTATGAATTTGCATTTTTATTTGTAGCTCACGATTCATTATGACTTGAATTTAAGATAAAATTTTAACACATGCTATCGCATTTGTTTTATGTGATATTTTTTAAAATAACTCGTAATATTTTATAAATACGTATAATTTACACAACGTATCGCAATAATCTATGCGCTTTTACGAAGGAGCTACGTGTTTTGTACAATTGCAATCAGAAATACTGTTGAATTTGATCTACTTTTTTTATAAACATGCATTTTTACTTGTAGCTCACGATTCATCGTGACTTGAATCTAAGATAAAATTCACGATTCATCGTGACTTGAATCTAAGATAAAATTTTAACACATGCTATCGCATTTGCTTTATGTGATATTTTTTGAAAATAATTCGTAATATTTTATAAATACGTATTATAAAATTTACACAACATGAGTGAAACAACTACTAAAAGTTTTGCTAAAAATTTTATGTTTAATCTTTTCTTAGCAAGTTTAAACTTTTATTGTAATTTTTGAACATATGAAAGTAGCAAGTTTATATATTTTTTTATTAAAAAACATTAAATAGTAGAAGACATCAATAGTAAAAGTTTTTGTTTGCCTAAAATATTGTGCATACTGTAAACTAATTTTGTTTTATTTTGTCTTTTCTAATTAATTGTTACATTAATTTTTTTGCTGTAACTTTATATAATTAAACATATATATTTTTATTATTTTTTAAATACTGTTCTATAATTATTTATAATTATAGAACAATATTTAAAAAATTTATTAATCTAAATAATATTTGTATATTTTTAATTTTTTAATTTAACTTAAATCAGTTAAAATATAGATACAAACTGAGAGTATTATTACAGAATATATATTATCTGTATTATTTCTATATATTTAATTTGTAAATAGTAATTTCTTTAGTAACAATTGTGTATTACAACAATACATACTATTATAACAATAAAATAGATATTGTCATATAACAATTAATTTAATTACAATAACACTTATAATTAAATGCTTATTCTATTTAACTTTGGACAAACATAACGAGAATATAAGTTTAATGTATAACATGATTTTATTTATGCCTTAAGCTTTTTCTTTTGAGTTTTCTGTCTCCTCTTCGTTGTTCTCATTTCTTTTACGAGGCGATTCATATTCCAAACTCCAAAAGTTGTTATATTTGATCGGTATTGCTTCACCCTTTTCAATCATTTTGTTAAGATTGTCATCTAATCTAGAGAATTGATCCTTCTTGTGTAAGATTCTTGATAACGTTTTATGAATATTTTCTCTATTTCTCGATTCCTCTCTTTGTCTATCTTCTTCGGCCGTCGAGTTATCTTGCAATTGGCGTAAAACATCCTTGGTAAAGTAACGAGACAAGAAATCGTTTTCCCTGTCGACCCGATCGGACGATTCTTTATCGTTGTCCTTTTCAAAAATATGCTTAAAGAAATCTTTGTCGTCGTAAGGATAATAATCCTCATTATTTATGTCGCTCTCTTTCCCTTCCTGTTTCGCATAAGAATCAGCCACCTCTTCTCTGTCGTTCGCTTTACCTCTGTCGTCGGAAACGATCCTATCATTATTGTAGTAATTTTCGTTCTTCGCGAAATAATCTCGCGTTTGTTCTTTTGGATCCGTGGCGTACGTCTTGAGCTCTTCAGATTCCTCGGTGCGATTTTCCTTATGTTCTTTTGGATCCGTGGCGTATATTTCGACCTCTTCGGACCTCTTGGTACGATCGGGGTTTTCCTTGTAGTCATATTCCGATTCTTTATCGCTGTACTTTTCAAAGGTATACTTGAAGAAATCTTTATCGTCATAAGGATAATAATCTTTATCGGTTGCCTCACTTTCCTTCGCTTCCGCCTTCGCGTACGAGTCAATTTCCTCTTTCGCCTTGCCTGTGTCGTCGAAAGCGTAATCGTCGCGGAAATTTTCGTTCTTCGTGAAATAATCGTGCGATTGCTCCTTTGGATCCGTGGCGTACGCCTCCTCGGACTCCTCGGTGCGGTCGGGATCTTCCTTACGATCGTACTTCTCGCTAAAGGTAGCCTGTATGCTTTCCAATATAGGATCGTTTTTAAAGAATTCTTCCCAATTAATCGGCTTTTTAAATTCCTCAAAGTCAACGAAGCCCGAGCTTTCATTTTCCTCGGATGATGCGGATTCCGCGGAACGGTGAACGTCGTCCGTAACATCCTCCGTATTATTGCGCAACTTGGTGTCCTCGACATCATATCTGTCGACGCATTCGGCGGAATCTTCGCTTTCCGTGCAACTTGAACGCGAGTTGTTCGTGTTCAATGCAGTCCCCGGCTCGTCCGTACTTTCGGTCTGTACTACTTTAATTTCAGCACTTGGGGATTTTGAGGAGAAGTCACCGGCGTCGCGGAGCCGTTCGGGACCGTAATCGTAATCGCTATCGTCGTACTCTTTGTATCTCGCCGCGGTTGCGCTCCGGTTGCCTTTATCTAAACTGTCCTCCTGTTGGTCGGTATAATCTGGCACTTCCACATAGGGTATCTTCAAAGGATCGTAGTCCGGAGTCGTGCCTGTCGAATAACTTTCTGCGCGTCCCGCTCGATCTTTCTCTCGCAACGGTTTGTCGACAGCGCTTTCGGTTGGCGAGAACGACGAGGTAGCGAAACTCTCTTCAGAAGAATACGGCGGTCCCGGTTCGGTGATGATTTCCTGCGATGAATTACGCGCTTCGTCGGTATACGCCGTCGAATTATCCGAAGACGAATAATCAACATTTTTAACTTTATCGGGGAGTTTATTCAAGTCGTCCACTTCGGAGGCGCTGTTTACGAGTGACGATAAGATCGGATTGTTATTCAATTTTGCTATGTTTACAACTGGAATTTTCTCAGGTTTCCATTCGGTCTTATTCGCCACGGCCCAAAAGCCCGATATGTAAGGACCAGGATCTTCTGACAATATCTTTTCGTTTATTGCTTGCACCTGCTTGTCTTCGTCGTAATTGATCGTTCCTTCTTGAGCGCACAGTGCAGGAGTTGTAGCCGCGTTATGTCTCGAGATATTCGCGTTTCGTTTAGAACGGGCGTTACTGTTCGCATGAGTCGCGTTGATTATATCCCAGATACGTTTGTAAAATTCTCGTTCCGGTTTAGCATTTGTCACTTGCAATTTATCTTCCTGCAAGGCTGCAATTCGGTCTTTGCATGTGGAGTTATCTTTCAAGGGATTGTAATCACTGATAATCTCGGAATGAGGACGAGTACCGTTAATATACTCCCAAATACGCTTATAAAATACAGTACTTGGTAATCCTGCGTTATTCACTGTTTTAAGCTCAGCCGCATTTTCATTTCGCCGCCGTTTTCTCGTTGGAACTTTGTTCTTTGTTCGTTGTTTTCGATAATCGGATTTCGGATAACGAGACTTTTTACTTGAAACAAAAGTTTTTTCCTGTCGAGCACGTCGCGAATGTTTAGTTACAGGAGAATTATTTCCCGATTCGTAAGACGAACGTTTTGAACGTTTCTTGCCAATTATTTTCTGAACCTTTTTTGCCGCTTCTAACATTTGCGCACTATTTTGCCGTTTCTGTCGAATGGCCTCGACAACTGTTGTAATCTTGATGATTTCCAAATCAGGAGACAGATCAACATTTTTATTTTGGTTATTTATGAGAGGGAATGTCGGTGGCATAATTTGTTTAGTTAGAAATTTTTCTTGTTGCTGAGATATTTTCTGAGGCATTTTTAAGCGTTGCATGAATTTTTTCCACCTAGGAGAATACAGCCAAGGTTTGCTCGATTTCTTTTTTAAACTTGCTGCATCTTTTTCTATGGATTTTAATTTACGATTGAATTTGTTAATATATATTTGTTGTAATGTGGATTTAATCTCAGATGCAGCTTGCGCAGATTTCACGGTATCCTGGAAATAATCGAATAACAATTAGCGATATTAAATAAACGTTGTAACATTACATTAAATTTCAAATCAAAAGTATTTTAATTATTAATAATTTCAATAATGTTACAAAAACCAAGTGTTCTAGGGACATAATAATATATAATTATTTCACATGCCGTAATGATATCTTATTATATAAAATAATTAGCAACAATGTCATTTGCATATATCAGAAATATATTTAGAGAGGGCACTTATAAGGAAGATGTACTTACATTTAAAATTTGTGAAAGCGGTGAGGAGCAAATGAACATATCACAGTCCCATATCTTGCATATAATCACAGATATAGATTAAGCTGTACCCGTGCATTGTATACTACCGTGTAACAAATCGTGCCATTATACATATACTATACAATAAACCTAATTTCAACAGATCGTCAAACGCGTGCAATACCTTTGTGAGCTTCTCTCTACCAACTCACGTGTAATTTCTGCTCGGAACAGATTGAGAATAATATAGACAAATAAGTGGAGGCTTATTAAATGGCATTCTTATCAAATTGACTTTATTTGTCGATTGTAATTATGTACAAAGTACAATATAAGTGGTAACTATGTCATTACAGTGGCGCAGAAAATATACGTCTCGATCATATGTAGATATTCGTTCAACGAGTAATAAGCAAGAGGCATCAACTCCGTGCAAATTTCTGAGCCACTGCGTGTGAATATTTACATTTTGCTTATTACAATAATACTTGAAGCACAATAATTAATCATCGTACAAAAATATATCATACATTTTTCATTAATATATTTGATCCCACGTGTTGTGGGATTGTCAGTGTACTATTGACTGAATAAATATTATATTTTATTCCACTTTGATTAAGCAAACGTACATGTGCTTTCACACTTGGCAAACATTGCATTAACGCGTTAAAAAAGGAAAAACTGTCATTCTTAAGAGACTTTCACACGCAGCTGTATATAAATTACATACGTTAAAGTTACACGGGGAGAATTTTATTTTAAAATTTGTCTAAAAATTCCCTAAAAATCATGTTAGTCGTATAGACAACATAGTATTTCGACGAATTTTATGTAATTTTTACTATTTTCTTTAATATATACTACAACAAATTTATTATAGTGCACTGCAGTAAAAAAAACTGAGAAAATATAATGACATAAATTTGTCGAAATACTATGTTGTCTCACGATTAACATGACTTTCAGGGTAAATTTTAAAAGGAAATTCTCTCCGTGTACTACTAATAATAAGTCTAAAGCAGCAATAGAAAAGTAAAGTTTGATCATCAATAAGCTCAGTCATGGTTACTGCGATAGAGATATTCCGCGAAACGTTATTTGAATTTTCACATTTCACATTTTACGAAAGAGAACTCTCTGTTGTAAACGAGTACTTCATTGTAGACATTATACTGTAGAGAAAGGCATCTGAATTATACATATCATTATCAAGCCTGATCATCAAGAGAGATTCTCCGTTAAGTAATAGGACATGTACGCACGTATATACCGTTATACATCCCGCTGTACGTACAGGCGTCGATCGACTCGTGTCTCCCACGTTCGTGATGCACCTTTAGACCTCAAAGCGCAGCAATGACGTATATGGCGGCAGATACTTAACGATCAGGCGCTTTCGTCCCCCGCGGTGCACTGCGCTTATTTTCTCGAGAAGCCCAGATACGAAGCAATGCCGTTAATATTCTCAAAGAAGATTCGATAAGCTTGCTGCCTGTCGTAGTGCTCCTGCACCATTGCCGGTTTCACCGGACGCTCCTCCACCCATCGCTATAGTACAATAGGTAATTGTAGGTACTGATATGGTGCATGGCAGTCGGCGGGGAAATGTGGAGTTAGAACGATAATGTATACGATCGCCCGTTCGGCAACAAGCGATTATCTGAGTCTGAGAGCTGTGTATGTCCGAGCACACGATACTTTACCTTTTATTAGTACTAAGTACTGGGGGGTGGGGGAGGGGGTGAATGTAGACTAGGAATGCAAGATGATGTAGAAGAAAGGGATAACAAACGAAACTGAATTTCACATGTCGCTTAATTCCAATATCAAACTTGTGCTACATAGGAAAGGATTATTTAAAAGCGCTGAGAGTATAAAATTATTAAAAAAAAAAAACCGAATGTTTCCTCGTCTACATCGGGATTTGCATTTCTAGCGAATAATGTCTGATTGTAAATATAATATGGAGTTTATTTTTGATGGGTGATCTGCATGACAGAACATGTATAAAACGAAATGTATAAAAACAGAACGGTGATAAAAAAAATTTTATTGTTCGAAGTGTTATATTTAAAAGGATGGCACTTACATAATTTTGTGTATAATAGCTGGGCAGGATAAGAATTCGAATAAGAAGATATAAAAATTGTTGAAATTACAGAAAAATACACCATTCGCAACTGTAATCGAATACATAGTCAAACGATCGCGCTTTGCATTAAATAGACCGGAAAAATTTTTATGTTCAACAATATATCTTTACTTTAAAAGGCACAGAATATGGAGTAGATCATTTTTAATGTTATGATCGAGAGATATCAAGAGATACTTACTCCACGGAGAAATATAAGTATATTGAAAAGACTAGATAATAGATATATATTAAGCACTGCTAAGTGTTATAGGAATCCGCGATGCTGAAGAGATGGCGATAGCATGGTTACGTGCAAGGAATGATTTGACTTGATTGTAATTTACTATATACAAAGAGTGTATTGTAGTTATAGTAATGTTTGATCGGACGTAATGTCATCAAAAGTAAAATAATTAAAGCGGCGGATGAAATTATTTTAAATATATCAAAAAAATTGTGTCATATTAATGAAAATCTGAATAAAATACTAAATGCAATTGATACGTGACTTAAAATAACATAGACTACAACAAAATTTTACAAGAAACATTTAGATATTTGAATAAAATTATTTGCGGATTGAAGTGCAGCTTTTGCACTTCAACAATATTAATTGCTATAAGTATATATTTATTAAATAACTCTAGAATAAAATAAAATAATAAAGCAAAATTTTGAAGCTCATACGTGAGAGAAAATTCAATTACAAATCTGTGCAATCTGCATTCAGACTGTAATATTACACAGTTATAAATAACTTTCGTACACAAGAGAAGATCAATGTCAAAACTTGTCGCATAAATAGCATTCTGTATTTCGAATAGTGAGTCTGTTATGTGTAAAACTCTTGTTGCTTTCTGTATGAGAGTGTACATGAAACGCATGATGCATTTTCACTAGGAGAAGCTAGGAGAAATAGGTATGTACATTCTGTTGATTACTGTGGAAGCTAAAGGTGTCCTGTAACTTTGCCAAGGGTCGAGAGTCGATATCACGCGCGTTATCCTCGATTAATCCATCGATATCCAAATTGAAGCTTACAATGATTGCATCAACACATTTACGAGTTATTATCAAAAAAAAAAAAAGGAATCATAGTTTATGATATTATGAACCACTCGAAACACGGCGACTCAAGTATGATCGACACTGGTCAACTCTGTATTTCATCGCACTATGTGTTTTAATCAATTCGACTTAAGCATGACTTATATCGTCTAACATTGCTCTACTTCAACACGTGCGTGCCTACGGAGTGTGATCTTGTGTTATAGTGCCTAAGGGTTGGGCTTCTTGGCTCGTGGCTCGGTTGGTTACGTGGTGGTGTTCGTCTAAGGGCACTCTGTTTATGTCTATTGGTGAAACAGATCCTCCTTTATTTCCCCAACTGCCCGTACGGGTCTGCTAGATTACTCACGTATTGTGCGGCGTGACTCGTCGCCGGGAATTCGGCCCATTTCGACAAGTCGATGCCGGGTAGAATACCGCTGCGACATGGAACTCGAGGATTTCTGTTACGACAATTAGAAATACATTATATACATTTTAGTTATTTTTAAAAAGCAATTTTTCTAAAATTTTTTTAGGCTAAAGTAAAAATTGAAATAAAGTATAGAAAATTAGTTGATTAGTATAATGGATAAAGTAAATGTATAGTAAACTGTAGACAATATGCCTATAGTAATAATATTTTTTGTATTATAGACTCCATTTATTTGCAATAAATGGAATACAAAGTTATGTTTGTTTTTAATTTTTTGATATTTTATTCAGTAAATCATTATTTATCGTTATTTCGTAAATTGTGTCCACTTACATTTCGTGATCGGGAAGGACCATCGGATAGATTTGTACCGTATCGATGAGATCGGTGTTATCGCAGATCAATCTGGCGAGCTTCGATTTCCGAATTTCGTTCAGTTGTTCTAGAAAAGTGAAAGCAAAAGCGCGACTTTAGAAGGCACCGCTTCGTTACATACATATATCGAATGGCTGTCGCGAGTCCTTGGCTCGCCGCAGCTCCTATCGGGAAGAGAATTCGAAAGGGTCTTTACCGAGAGTGAAGGACGACGGCTGGTTCGGCAGCTCGTACCAGAATCTGTCGCCACGACGCGAATGACTGAACTGCGTGGCAATCACGCAGGCGAAGGTTGGCCCGAGCATACTACCCGGAAGCGGTCTTTCGGATACGCCGCCCGACCATAAATCGACGTCCGCGGGATGTCTGAAAAAGAGCGCGGAGATAAAGCCGTTATTTCCGAATGCGATATTTTTAGCACGATCGGTCCGCTGACTGAATAATGAGATGCAAAACTTGATCGATCGGCCTTTCGGCACCTTCGAAGGTTCCGCTGCCGGCTTTTACAGACGTGGAAATACTCACTCGAAAATAGTGCTGTATCGCCTGACGGTTTCGTTCGGCATGGAACCGAACAATTCGTCGAAGGTGTTCGCTTCGGGAAGGCCGCAGTACTTTCTACAATTATAAAATCACAAAATTATACATATTATTCATATGCTATTAAAAGTTTGTTCTCGCTGATGTATTTGAATTTGAAAATTCGTTGTGCGTGGCTCGAGGAGCGTGACTGAATTCTCCGTTGATTTTATTATCAACTTTATTTCTATGTGTGTGGTTATTCTTCCGTTCCACTTGTCTATACTTGTTGAATGTCGCAATTGACTATACAGAGGATTATCATTGCGAAACACAGATATCGCTCTAACTACAGTTTTATTAATCAAGTTTATTAATAGTATGCTTAACTGTAACTCACCTGAACTCCATATAACTTGGAATACCAAATTCGCGGCCGCGTTGCATGTTAAAGGATACTAAATCCAATCCGAATTTTGCTCCAGCTTTTTTAAAGAGATGATTCGTCACCTGTAAAAAATGAATCGTATAATACGGGATAACCGTCTATTTATAGATTTTATTTATAGGCTAATCATTGCCTTACTTCTTGCGTTATAGAATCGTCCATAGCCTGAGCGACTTGATTCATCAAGCCCATGAAATATTCGTCGAATACACCAGCTCGATACAAATCATAGGGACGTCTTATCAAATCTGAGAGTCTCTTTGAAGCTATAAAGATAAACATAGATAATTTGAAATCAGATTTTAAGAAAAGAAAAATTAAATATACTAACGAAAAGTCGATTAAATCCGTCTTATTATTTATAACATTAAATATTTTAATGAAAAAATTTTAAAATAAACTTCAGAATTTATTTAGAGTAATTGATGAAATTTTATTATTTATTTAAAATTTAAAATTTAGAAAAGAAAAGGCTTTATTTAGAAAAAAAGAAAGAATTTATAATCAAGAGAAATGATTTTTGTTATAATTTGCTTGTGCAATGTGATCTCGTTGTGCAATTATTATATATTGTCGCTTTACCAATAAATTTGTGAGCTTTGCTCCATCGTTCTACAGCCGTGGGCAATAGTGAATGACCGAATCTAAAGGCAGCAGCGGCGAAAGCGTCTATTACGCCTGGATTTATGCTCGGATCATATCCATCCCAGTATTTCTATGGAAAATTGATATTTTAACGCGGTTATTATCGTTTATCAAAGGCTGTCCAATGAACAGCAAAAAATAGACAGGGGACATATATAGTTAGATCTCAATTATCTCAATAATGTACACATATGTATACGCACATAGTTATTAAAAACGTTTATTTGTGCATTTAAAAAAACGAATTACTTGTTTATTAACGACTCTTTGAAGTTATCTTTATTTTGCTCAAAATAAATTATGTCTTTACACATGATTTATGCGTAAATATTCATGTATTTTGTTTCAATTTATTTCAGTGTCATTCAGCTCAACTTACTTCCTTCTCAAGAAGAAGTCCGAATTTCTCCATGACATCTTTGCCGAGTAATATCGGGAGGAACTCGTTATAAGTGATGTGTTGGATTTCCGCGATGACGATGCGCCTGGCTTCCTGGAAGAGAATCTCATCGTCCCAGTGCGGATTCACGTTGGCTAGTTCTTTGGCGAGCCGGTTATGCTCCCGCGCCAGTAAAGTGTGCATGCAGGTAAGTACCAGCTGTTCATTTACACGAATCTCACCTATAAGTAACAGAGGTGACCGATAAATCAATATCAATTCTGAGATTCTGAAAGAATGATTAGTTTTCGCGATTGAGCAAACGCGATACTTTTACAAAAAGAATCGGATAGTTTTGCAGTTCCTAAGACGCTTTAATAAGCTTGTGAATTATTAAAGAACACAAAGACTTAAGACATAATAATTTATTGAATTATGTAAAATGTTAAGATGCAACTGTGATGCAACGGTATAAGCCAGACAATGCCCCTTAATGACGAGAGTCTAAACACAAAGAGAATACTCTTTTGTAATATATCCCGACAATCGAAGTATGTATTAGAAGTACATAAAGCAATTCAGTTGGAAAGTATCGGAAGTACATAAAGAATATAATCGCGTTATCGCACGGGTATCTACATTTATGGACTTGTATTGGCCTTGATTTGATTTGTTATAGTACTCCGCTGCATAATGCATTTCGTATTATGACAATCCATTCCACAGAAAGAGCTCATGAGTTATGATTTTCGTTAGACGTAGCGTAGCTAATTTATTAATTTATTAGCCATTATTCCGGGCAACTCTAATTAGTTCAGAAGATTTAAATAGAGATGACTGTATGTGATAAAGTTTCCAAGAGTATAATACCTTCACCATCGAAGCGTGTTGTCGCATTCTTGTATTAATAACGAAGATAGAAACAAGAAATTTTCATATCTGTCTATCTTGTGTGAATAATAAATTACATAATTTAATTTATAATGAGCCAATGCACGGAATTAAAAGGTAAAAAAATATTTGTAACCTTACCGGTTATCGTATAAACCTTTGTTTCAAGCAAGTAGAAAATAACACGTATTGCAGCGCGCGTGCGACTTTTTATAATATTTCTATGACTTTATAAAAGTTGACGTCCTTGCGTCGCAGCCATTCCCTTTCTCACCCGTATCGTATCGATTGGCGTGCTGATAATCGTGCAAGTACAGTATCTACTGGTGATAGCAAAAGCGAGCATTAAGCTGATTACCATACCATCCGAAATTCCGAAAAAAACTTAAATAATAACAGTCAATCTCGAGCACCAATTGATTTTTTCGTAACGTGCGATTAACGTAAGTACAGGGTACGGGTAATACTGCCGCCGAATGCTCGCACGATGGACGTGCGGGAGATTTATGGTTTAGCGCACCGTGATTCCACGGGTCCCGGTATCTCGGATGATTTATGGAATCGGCGCGCGCGATAAGTGCATACAATTATCGCGCCGCGATCGGATTGTTTTGTCTCACGAAATCGGCGATCGGATTCACTGTGCATATCGCTGGAAAGTTACGCGGGTGATCGACGAATTGACGTGGGAAAATGACTCCCGGGCGGGTAAATGGGGGAGACACGGGGGAATGCTAGGGCAAAATCGATCGGGGCGGTCGATCGCGGCCATCTCAAAAGAGAGAGAGCGATAGGCACTTATTGTTAGTAAACGGCGCGGCGCCGCGAGAAGGCAGTAAACGAGCGTGACTTACCGCTCCATTGTTCTTGTACCATCGAACGCAGAAAAATCGCCAGAAATTAGAATAGTTACATTAGCGCGGCTACATTCGACCCAGGCTGACTCGTGCATCGTACGCTCATTGTGAATTCAAATGGAATACAGTCGGGCTAATAGCCCGCGCTCTGTGTTGCGTTTAAAAGCTACATTTACCACTTTGCGAAAGTCATGCTTTTCTAAAGCAAGCGATTGATTTGTCACGACTGCGATCTATGACCATGCAAGAACGCAACAGTGCAACAATGCGTAGTAAGGAAAAAATACTATTACAAAGGGTTTCTTAAACCGACTAAATATTTTGTTTATCATAGATTCTGACAATTTTAGAGCAAGCATGACAAGATATATAATTTTTAATAACTTAACGATTAAATTAAATTTTGGTAAAATATTTTTATAAAATATTAAATCTCTATTATCATTTATATATTCCGATTCTTTACGTTTTATGTTAAGTGTTCGATTTTTAAATATTCTAATAATAATTAAGTAAGTCCGCAGCTTTGATGTTAAAATAACGTTTTAAACTAAAGCTTAATATTTAATTGGTTTAAAAAATATTTATTACCAGCTTCGAAGCAATACATCGATTGGTTCGGCCGAGTACATCCTTCGTCCGGTATATCTAACTTCAGCGGTAATAGGTCTTTAAGGCCATACTCTGAAAAGACCGGATTCATCCGTAATAATCCGCCATAGCCTGTCCGGAGTTTTCTGAAAAGCGAAATAAAAGCATATGAAAATTTTAAGAATACCACGTACAAATGACAATATTAATATGAATAGCCTGTTCCTCTCTTAAGCTTTTGCTTTATTTCTTTAATATTTCTAAAATATTCCCAAAATTATTTGAGATATTAAAACAAATAATTTTTAGAGAAGTTAGATAAACACGAAGTTAGGTAGAGAAGTTAGTATACGTGTTATTTATATAGACGTAAAAGGGGCATATGTGTAGCAGCCTGTGACGTCATAAGGGAATGTGAAGTCCACGAGGATTGAGCAATCGCGAGGTTCGTAGATCGCATCACCGCGCGAACATGGTAGAAAGTGCGAAGAACACGGGGGCACGTGCCCGTGTGTTGGAAAATGCAGAACAACGCAATGCTGATTTATTGTCCCTGGTGTCGTAACAGAGGCACACATATGTACCGTTTTGAGGCGGAACGAAATTCGCTTCGCCAAGTGCACATGCAGGGATCCATAAAAGGCGAAAACCGACTTACTCACCCTTAGAGACTAACCGGTCACTGTTAATACAATTTTTTGTGCTATTATTTACTGTGATAAATTATAAATAGATGTAATAGACTCATTTTCCCATATGTGTAAACGCATTTATACATGGGATGTTCTATTACTTTATTTTTAAATATTTTTTTTTAATTTGCAAATTTTGATGAATACATTTATACTTGTTGCACCGAGACAAAATTGACTTTAATTCGTCCAATTGGATCGATAACGCGATAAATCGTCATATGAGCGTTTGAGAATAATAATTTCGTGTTATTATCGAATGGAATGCAAATTATATTGCGGTTTACCTAGCAAAAGCTTCCGTGATGCCGTAAACCGTATTACCATCCAGTACACCCGTGAGAAGATTGAAAGGCACTCGGGAACCGAGGCGGCAACCAGGTCGGACGGCAGGAAAAGCGCGGACGAAGTCCATGCATTGCACATTGAACAGCCTGTAGAAATAATCGTCCTCCGGTATGAGGATCTCGTTGCAGTAGGGATTCTTCAGGTGTGGCGGCCGTTTGCAGCACTCTTCCGGGTCGTTTCGGTTCAGGGGGTCTGCAAACACGATGATAGCAGAACAGATACGTAATGATAGCAGTAAGCGATAGTATTCCGATCACGCACGCGTAATCCATAGTCCCCGACGTGCCGGGGAATATCAGTATTCGCGATTGAATGGAACATTACGAGCGTCGACTGTTTTTCCCGGCTCTCTGTCGCAATCTCGCTCGTATTGGACCGAGGTAGAATCGACATTGTCTATTAATTATCCTCTCATATGAGAATACGTTTGTGAGATCGTCTGCGGGGTATATATAGCCGGATTGCACATTCTGAATTATTGTTCCTTTCGAGAACAATCCGATAATTGGCGTGGAGTATCGCGAGTTATTTCAGAGTGGCGCGATCACAAGTCAAAGGGGCTCGCCAATTCTGATTGACACATCGGCGGCGAACGATCCCGAGTCGGTGAGCGCCCGCTCGGAAACGTCACTGGTCGTACACGTGGTCGGTTTATCCGGGCGATGTGATCGTTCGCTTTCTCTCGTAGTCACCTTCCTTTCGATGCACATATACGGCAAGTGTTTAACGTGGAAGGGCCTATGAGTGACCTACGATGCGTATGTATCAAATATCTCGGTACAGAGACGCAACTTAAGCGATCAGTCCGCCGACGATGGAGAGGTTCGCTTTCTAATTTCTATTCTAGTTGCATGATTGAATCACCGGGTTTTGATCATTACGGCATATACGAGCCCATAGAAAAATCATTTATATTTTTTTTATTGTTGCTTTCTCTAAAATTTGTTATATATCACAGTTGGCTATTAGACGTTGCGGTAATTTTTATCCTTTATTTTTTTTATTTATTAATTTAGATATGTTTTTTTTAAAGAAAAACAGAAAATTTTGTTAAAACGAATGGGTAATTGAAATCTTTCATAATTAGTCATTGCATTTATTTTCTCGAAGAATCATATGTAATCTTGCATTTATTTTCCTACTGTTGCGTGAGATAAATCAATTTTTTTTCATTATTTAAAATAGCATAAATTTAAATAAACATTTATTTATTTATTTGATTATATGAATACGTTTTCGTATGTTTTTCTAATTAATGAGATCAATTTTAAGAAAATCTTATTATCAATCGAGGTGAGGTGATCGCTTTTGCGGACGTTAAAATCACCGATAGTCGCGGCGGAAAAATTTGTCATGTTTGTCGCGTTCTAATCACGCTGTAGAATTTGAATGTACCTAAAGGTGTGGCGGTCAAAGTGTAATCGTGATCCATGAATTGTCCCCACGCGATCACCATAACTGTGCCGGCGTGATCGTGGTAACCTTCGTCCGGGTGCATGGTGCGTGATACGACTCGGGACAATGGTAGATCACGACCCGTTATGGATATTCTTGGCGCCGACAGGCCGTCCGCGAATTGAGGGCTCATCAATCTGCAAGAGATAACGACCAAGTACTCGACGGCGTCGCGTCGTGTTCCGCGTTGCCGAAAAAAAAAAAGAAACGGTCCGAGAGGCGAAAAAAATCACAGTTATTACCTCGCGAAAGGCGACAGAGAGGACCCCCAAGTTGGATTCTCCAAATTCGTGCAGAGGCCATCGAATCGCCGGTACTTGCCTGGTCTGCATTCTACGTTGCTGAGAAAGGCGGGACAAACCTCGCGGATCAGCGTCTTCGACGTGTCGATCAACGGTAGACTCGTCTGGATCTCCTCGTAGGTCAATCCGTACCTGAAGCGTCGATGATTAGAAAGTAAAATCAAGGAAACGCGATCGGGAACTTCCCAAAGGGGGAAAGTTCGTCGGCAGAGAAAGAGAAAAAGAGAGAGAGAGATTGCAGAGGCTCATAACAGAGGAGACTTACGTTTGCGCGAGATTCGTGGTAATGTCGAGAAGCAGCTCGCCGACCGTCGCCAGATCCTCCGGTCGCCACATCTCCGACTTTGGTCTCGCGACGTCTACGGGGCGATTACGTGTGTGTGAGCGACGGTTATACGAGAAAGCCGCGTGAAACGAAGCAAAAACATAGCGAATATACGAGAGACGTGCGTAAGTAGACGGCCGGCGTATCGTCCGTTATGGTTTTATATACGAACGACGTTACGCGGGAATGACACTCCGGTACGTCGTGTTGATCATTGTCGACAATAAATTATGAACGTCGCGCAATTAATTCACGTAATGAAATTTAATGTACTCACTAATGCGCTTCCTCGCCTCGACGTAAGCATGATTTACGGCGTCGTACGTGATGCAGGTTTGGGTTCCTCCCGCGGTGGGGCTGCGGATAGCGAAAGAATAAGGATGAAAGTTGACACGTGCTCGATCTTCGAGTGCGGATATTATTATACAGCCCTCTCGCCTCGTCCCCCCCTCCTCCCCCCTCCTTCCTTCTGCACCCCACCGTATTAATTATCGTCGCAGCCTACTTTCGTGAGAAGCCGTGAGACTTCGAGAGAGTCTCTCGAGCGAGAGAATTCGCTCGTGCAGATTACGCACGTAGAGCGTCTGTATGCGCGGATATTTCGTATCAAGGTAATCCGAAACTATCCTAGACGTGCTCTCCTATGCGAGTGAATTGACTTTCATATCCTGTTTCCGCCGTGAAATATACTGACATTGAGACGTGCCGCTCGTGGCTGCGCCGTCGAAGGTTGAGCCAGCTATTCTGCGCGTTTCTCTATGCCGACATTGCACTCTCATACACACAGGCTTCCGCCTTTGATTCTTCTACCTTTATCCTCATTTCTTCATTTTGACCGTGTCAATCGCAAATTGTATGTTTAGATTAAAACCATTACTATTTTTTACCTATTCTTTTATCAATTTTTCTTATTTGCTTATTCTTCGAAATTAACATAAATTTTGTTTTGGAATTTTATACATCTTGAGAGGACACGGATATAAATTTTGAAATTTGAATCATTGTAAAATAAACATGTTATTTCAATATTTTAAATACTTATGCTATCTTTTTTTATCTACGCGTTTTATCTAGTTTGTAAACTCGACATATTTTTGAAATCGCTCTATAATTAAATTCCACATTCGTTCATAGAATATAACGTTTAGCATAATGGGATTTCCATGCATTTAATCTCGAGACACTGACTCATGAAACTACTGGAGTTTACTCAAGCCGTCCCTCTGAAAACCGATCCAAGTAGTACGAATCGCTAATTCAAGTGCGCTTGAGGCGCAAAATCGGGAAGACGTACGCGAGAGAGGCAGCTTCCCGCGTCTAATTGCGGTCGAGTGTTTCGACCGTTGTGCCGCAACCGGCGTAATAATAACGAAAGCACTCTATAATGGTGTCGTGCATCGACGCACTTACCATAACTGGTCCGAGCGACGGCAATAGCCCCATTCCCCGCCGCCCGGTGATAAATGCGAATTGCGCCAGCCCCTTTTTTTCTGATACACATAAATTATATTTCAGCTCACGGCATTCGTACTTTAATTCGCTACGTTTAATAATCACGTTGTCGCGGCCGCGACACGCGAAATATCCACGGTGTTCGAAAACGCGGCCCGTCCCCCAACGCCGATATACGATCGTTTCGTGCGTCGCGCTACGCCTCGGTTTCGGTGGCTATCGATGATTGATGAGGTAACATTCTCGCATATTGTATTCGCTCCTGTATTCTCCCGTCCCGCGAGTGATCCTTTCGAAACATTGTCAATAATCACTTTCGCAGCCCGACAGCACGCGCTATTTCGACCTCCGGCTCGGCCGTATCGTTTCGCCGTGCAATTGCGATCTCGACGTCTCGTTATGTCGTGTCCTCGGGCACCTGCTTGACATTCCACGAGTGTTGCCTCCACCTCTTAAAAGTAGCTGCGTGACATCGCTAACCGGGCGCGGCGTTACGACGCCACGCCGGCTACCTAAACGGTCGTTGCCGATCACGCGACTCGGCTGACTATGTTTACTTCTGATTACTTTAGTAACTGCATATCTGGCTATTAAACCCGCTAAATATAGACGACCTATATTTGCGTCAGATTTCAATTATTTTAAGTATCTATATTATTTTAAAGATTTTGACTAATTAAAATTTGAATTATTAATTATTTTTTGTATTTTGTTATAATTTCTATAAAACTTTAAAGAAACAATTGATAATTAGAACTTCAATTAATCGATTTCAATTCTTTACAATTAAAAAAATAATAGTTTTAATTTTAATGAGAAGCATCTTTAAAAAATTAACTTTTAAAATAAACTGCACTTATGTGAACTATATTAATTAACAGAAAGGTGCTGAAGACTTATGTTTTACATAAAATTATTAACGCGCATAAATGACTAGTTGTTTGTCATGAGAACAATGTTTACCAAAGAGTCTGCAAAAGTTCTTTAAGATATCTTTCTAAACTGTAGAATTGCATTTTAATAACATTACGAGACATTATATTAAATTTTATAACGACACAATTATGACAAACTCTTAATAATGCGACTCGCGTATTGTTGAAGCAATCGTGCTTGTCGACGATTGCTTCGCGTGCAATTAAGGACGGATAATATACTCGGCGTGCAATTCCAATTAGTTCTCTTCTAGCGCTAAAGCGAGGCCCCGTTTCGGCTTGTACCGACATAATCTTCGGCAATCCGAGTATTTAAAGCGATTTTATTGCAACGCGGTCGCCTTGTGTTTCATTAGTGGCGCGCTTCAAAAGGCTCAATTAGCGGTGGTAAGATTCCCGTGCATACGAGCTTAGTCCATGCCGCCGTTCGTGATCTGGAATGCACGAACCGACGATTTCAGACCGGTCGAATCTCGTAACTCTGCTTCAAAAATCTCAATCAATCATTATTAATTACTGCAAGACCAGCGCATTGCGTTCTTTATAACGGTCGTAAATTATAACAAGAGATACAGTGAGACGACGCGAGATAAATCTCAATTTTGGCATCCGAATGTCAGCCGTATTTCGAAAAATTTTTTCCTCACAATTTTTTTATAAATTATAAATTATATAAACAATTGCGACCGCGTGGTTGCCTTCATAACCGTGTTTCTCCAGCATCTCGGCCGCACAACCTGAATTCGATTCTTAAGGACACTTTACTGGAGCATTCGAACGATAAACGCCGTCTCGTCGGTCGCTTGACGCAAAGAACGGCAGTTAATCACGGGTTTCAACGCGGTTACGCGTCTGAACGCGGGGATTATTGCTGCGGCTGTCTGTTCGGTAAATACGACGATTCTCTACACGAGACGATGAATGGACGCAGCACGCGGTTTACTGCGATACGTAACGGTCACTTTCGTTGCGCGACGCGTTTACGGCTCAATACCATAAATGCCGATTTCCAGCTGGCAATGGCCGCTTTTAAAAAGCCCGATAGACAGCGTTTGAATTTTACGACCGTAAAAAGCAATATAATCTGTACAAAATTATCTTACGTAGACACGCGGAAATATACTGCAGTCTGAAATATATCTATAGTAGAATATTGTATGTGCGGCCGCATAGTGAATGGAATCCAACAGTAAAATCGATAAGGTCGCATTAGAATCCGCTAGTCCTGCGGGAACAGGATGATAGTGAAAGTCCTGGCCGTGTGACCAAAGTTCCCGCTTTCTCTAATCCTCTAGAATGCCAGGTGAGGACTCACTTCGTTACGTAAACGCACTTCCATGCGGTTGGCAAACGCGATTTATAATCGTACATTTCCTAGTCCGTTACACTGTGTGTCCTTAGAACCGACGTTCTAGCTGATAAGACATTTTTATTTAATTTTTATTTGCTTTTATGGTACTCTCGTAATCGGCAGCGCGGTAAAAGGCAGCATTTTGCTTGAGCGATATTAACGGTGACCATCAGTAACCGCAGGCAATCTTGGATAATAATCAAATTGATATATTAAGATGGAACGATAGATACTCGTTACAGCCGTCTCAATGCAACTGATTTCAATCACACTCCTTGTTAATGACAAACATTGGAATGTCTTAGAGAAAGTGTTACTTTCGACAGACTTTTAAAGGATTACCATGATTATCATTAAATATAATGTGATTATATTTAAATATTAAATTTCAGTGATCGTACAAAAGTTACATTTTTTGCAAGATGACATGAATATCCTAAATGATAGATTATTTGAAATAATTTAATTAACAAATAATTTAATAAATAATATTAATAAAATAGATTATTAAATAGATAGATAATATTAATTAAATAGATTATTGTGATTATCATTTTTAATTATTTGTGCAGTATACTTAAAGTTAAAAGAAAATGCCGAAGAAACTTTGTATTATCGAAACTTGTAGTACTAAAAATTTATAATACTTATTCCTATCTTCTACACTTACTTGTACCTTTAAATAATAGTATCTTAATAATACCTGCAAATCCAAAAGGTGTGTAAAATTTAATAATGTTCATCTATTACGGATATAATTAATTTGATTTACATACAAGGCTATTTTGTATTTATGCTCTATTCCGACAAAAAAATATTCAAAGTTACATAATTAATTTTGTTAATATTGCTCATAATATTGTCATATTTCTTATATTATACGATAAACTTCGAGGTTAATTTCAAAATTAGTTGAAATGAATAAAGAAATTGGGAAATTTAAATTAATTTTTTGGGAGAAAAGTAAAACTAGTATCTGTATAAAATATTCTCTGACCATGAATATATAGCCAATAAAAATTAGCCTACTTGTGTTAACAATGAGATGTGAAAATTCACATGGCAGTAATTTTATAGTTTGCGAAAGTTTATATCAGTCACTTGGAAGGTACAACTTCAGATCTTGATTTCGCGTTGACTTTCGCTAAATTAAGATCGCTATCGTCGCGCGGACTTATATTTCGGTCTTAATGTGGGCACTTACAACGATCCGCGAAGTAAATTATAGGTGTAGTCATAAACGCTGGTTCTTCCACGAGCGTCCAGGATCAAGGCGCACTCCTCTCCGTTTACATAAGAGTCGAGAGGTTGATACTGTAGCCCGTTACAGTGCGCCGTTTCTAACAGCAGCAGCAATCCGATTATCGCGGATCGCGTCCGCGTTATCGCGAATCTGCAACATTCCAGCACAAACGATTATCTATCTCACATCAAAGAACATTGTGGCGCGTTCGAACAAAGTACTGCTCAGTTTGAGGTTGCCTTAAATCACGGTCAGGTTTGCACGGATTTTTACAAATCTGATAGCTCGGAGATTTACTCCTACATAGAAAAATTGATAATATGATCATATTGAAGCAATAAAACTGCGATCTTTAATTTAAAATATAATTTTTTTATTTTGTAACTCTATTATAAAAATGGTTGTAATGGTAATGAGTATGAGTAACTACGTAAAGTTGGCAAATGAAATTTATTATATAATTATATCATTGAGTTTGAAAAGTTAATTGAAGTAATCAATCATGTATTTAACTACGACAATTTCCGCATATTTCCTGCAAATGATCATGCTGTTCATATGGAATCTAATATGTATACTATAGCACAGTTCCGTATCTTTTTCTCCTTTTTTAGAAAATTATTAGTAACTAATAATGGATAATAAAAATTATACTTCTTAGAGAAATATATGGATAAAAGCAAATATTAAAAATATTTTTTGTGAATTATTTTTAATGAGTTATCTTGCATTATCTTTGTCATTAATATAATCACATTTTTTAATTTTATGTCTATAATATAGTGAATAGTCTGAATGTCATAATTAATATCATAATTAATACTAAGCGAGTAATTAGGACATTTGCTTCGATATACATTGAAAGGATATCAGATTAACGTAATTATTTCGGTTCAGCTGGTTAGATTACCTTATAAGCCTGGACGGAAATATAATTTTGATAAAGAGAATATGATTATCAAATATTTGATATAATAGAATATGTTTTTGATGTAATAGTCATAAAACGCGTTATGCGCTGTTGAAAATATTTTTTAATCCTTCGTTCTACATGAAAATAACTTTTTGTCTAAAATATATTGTCAAGTTTAATAAAAAATATATTAATATTTAATATAAATTTAAATTTATTTTTGTATTTACATAACAAAATAATAAGTAAAATAATGAAATCAAACGCAAGCTTTATAATGACTATTCATTGGAAACAAGAACAATGCATTGGAAAACATTTTTATAATTTTAAGTTCAATGAAAAATTAAACATAATGAAAACAATGAAAAATAGAAAATCGCATTTTTTTAAAGAATTATTCTGTACATCGTAACGAGGTCACATATAATATATCATGATAGCTTAGGATGAATTCTCCTTGGACATTTTGCTTGACAGCTTGATAATATCTGTTACATCGTACGTGCAACGGATGAATTTAAGCACGGTGCATTCGGTGTATTCTCGAGCGGAGCGGACATGTGCAAAAGTCGAAGCTCTCTTCCGTACTCATTATCCATTCTTTTAGCATAAGAGACGCGTCGCAAACGCCTCCAGTTCGTCCATGGAAAGTTAGTCTTACATTTTGTATTCTCACGCTTTGCGATACATTTGCATATGTAAACGTGCAATTGACACACATACAAAATTGTGCTTGTATTCTTGCTAGCGGATATCACGTTACATCTGACTTTTGAGTTTTATATAAGAAAGAAAATTTTCTTCCTGACTAATCTCATTATTTAATGAATTTTTTGTAATATACATTTAAATTCCAACTTTAAATGTTAGTCAACCTTGTTGAGTTGCCGTCGCCGAGAATGTATTACCTATGAAAATTATATTTTAGCATAAAGAGAAGTTACGTTAAAAGAAAAAAAAAATACAGAACGCATAGTTGTAGGGCTTCCACCACCTTGAACTTTTTAGCAAAGCCTACTCCAAGATTAATTGTTGTATCGTACATCCATGTTCCATTCACCAACGCTTGTCGTGAAATTACATTAATTTGCGGTACAAATTGGCACGTTTGAAATGGCTGACAGGTATTCGCGCTCGCCTTGTAGTCTACCGACGATGAAAGTGCCTCTCGTTCCACATAATGATTAGATAATACTCGATCGACATTTAAAGCTATTCGGATTCTCTTCTGTGTTTTCTGGTTATCTCGGGTATGTCGCATGCGACTCACGGATGCAACGCAACTCGATAAACCGGTCTTCGCATATTCGGCAACCTTAGACCATAACAATTAATCAGTCGCCTTTAATGGAAATTACTTGCACTTCGGTGACTCGCAATTGATATAATTTGTCGGCATGTGTTCTTTATTTAATGTAACTTATATTAAATCTTTTTACTTTAATATACTTTACTATAATGAGTTACATGAGTGAAAGTACATTTCTGTGTTTATCTGTCTATCTGCTGTTACATTGAAATAAATATACATTAAGATATCAATTTCAGTTCTAATTAAATATATAGTTAAAATAAAATTTAATTTTAAAGTTTAAAGTAATTAAAGTTTTAATTTATCTATGATATACATGATTTGCCGAGTTGGCTTCTAAAAAGTGGAAGAAGGGAAAAGATGTATTGGCCATTTATGCTTTACATGGCCATATTCTCGTTTTATAGAAAGAAACGTTTAATGCGAATTAACGATTTACTCCTTTCACGGTATTAAACGTCTTATGAAATCGAAAGATTGGAGAAATTGCTTTTCGTGATCATTGAATGGATCATGGCTCATTAACTAAGTAGCTTGTCAATTTATTGTTAATTGTCTTCTTGCGGAAACGTCAATGTTATCCGGATTACGGGTGATTCAGATTGATATTCTGCGTACGTAATCGCGTGAAATTCAATCGAACGGCGCGGCGTGCGAAACTGTGTAGTGGTCAGGAAGCGTACGAAAAGTGAAAATTCGTCAAAAAAATCAGCCGCAAAATGAACAATACCGCAAGAGAATTGTTCCTTGTTGTTACGTAAGACTTTACCTTCTAACGTGTTGATAGAATATATCTAAAGATGTTGCATCTATGTTATATTATATATACATAAAAAAATAAAATCATATGCAACACGTTTCGTTACATACATATTCTGTTATATATAGGGTAAAGAAGCGTAATTTGATCATATAGCATAATTTTCAACAACATTTTTTGAGCGCTGCAATTCGCACTAGACAGTTGTCATTTATGTCATTAAATTGTATTAGCTCACTTTTGATGAGACATAGAGCTGAATAGTGTAAACGTGTTAATTTTTGTTAATTTTTGTTAATTTTTTTTCCTTAAATTGACCAAATTACGCTATATTCCCCTACATAAAAAAATGGATTATATGCAACGCGTTTCGTTACATACATATTCTGAATTGCATGATGTAATTACGCTGTAAATGACTTTCATTCTACGAGCAAAGACATATTGACTGGTTTCTTTTGGTGAACGGATTGTAATTAAACTTAACCTACATATGTCTCACGTGGACCTAAGAAAATTATAGACATCACGATTGCTGAATTTAATACAATAATTACTTTTAAATTGTTTTGTAAATATTATAATCCTTTTTTTTATTACTTTTATTTACTCTATATATGGCAGTATTGAATTAAATCGGTCAACCATTAGTTGACATAAGACTGTGATTATCTCACAGTGTATGTATATTCATAAAAAAGTAACTTGTTACAAAAAAATTTAGATTGTAAAAATGCTTGATTAAATCTTTATAAATTACACAAGAAATGATTTTATATAGATATGATATATCTAATATAAGAATGAATATGAAAGAAGAAAATTTCTCTGATTATAATAAGGGATGGAGCATGATTATTCAAAGAATCCAACGGCGTGTTATGCAATTGGCTAAATTGATATAAGTGGAATTATCCCAAACAGTGATATCGGAAGGTTGTAATGAAAGCTTTCGTTTACACGTTAATCGACTATCATCGTTGTGCACCGACTACATAATCGTGCCGCGCAGCATCACGGTTAGATACAATAATTGCCATTAAGTAGGCGGACAGTGATCGACCGTTTCTCAAGTGTTTGCAAATCCCCACAAACTTATAAACGCGCGTACCTTATTTGACAATTAAAAAGCCGAATGATTTACTAGCTCGGTGAAAGGATTCGAAAGCGGGTAAAAGTAACGCGATGCTTGCAGAAGGTCGAGTTTAGATTACGAGACATCTGTCTGATCTTTATTTTACGCCGCGCTAAGCTCCAGCTGATCGCGCGCTTGTCATCTCGCGTGACGACGCATTTCCTTTAAGGAATAAATCGTGTAAATCACAATGACTGAGACAAAATTCTCCCCGGGTCGATCGAAATAAAGCACCGATTTTGCTTTCTCGGTACGTCACGCAGGGATTCGCCTTTCACCTTTCGCGGCGGGCCTCGTGCGATGATAATAGACTGCACAAGAGTCACGTGCATTTTCTGCGAGACATCGCCCCCCATTTGTATGCTCCGGCCCAGTTCTCATAATTACTCGCATTTATTTTTCCAAGCTATCCGTCTTTCTCAGGAAGCCTCTTCTTTCTCACGTTAAAGAAGCTCGCGCGAGATTAGAAAATTCGATAAACAACTATAACAGCCATTTATTAATTTTTGCAAATCGCCACGGACATCTTAATTTTGATAAAGCAATCTTGAAATAGTTTAATCTGTAATGTTTATATATTAATTTATATACACATATTATAGTATTTTTTAAACTTACAATTAGTCTTATCGCAGATGTGTGATATAAGATATGTTGAAAAATGTTGATTTCTATTAAGTTTAAAAAAATCAAAAATTAATTTTATTTAGCAGTATCAATTTATAGTACCTATATATGTATATACGTATAATACAAAAAAAGGGAGATAAATTAGTCACCCCCAACTTCGACAGCGTAACTTTCGTAACATTTTGACATGTATCCTTGATCCATTTTATGTCAAAAGGCAGAAAAGTCGATATATATGGAATTATATGTTATATAAAAAATGTTTTATAATTTTTATTTAATTTAGAAGCTAATCATATACTGTGTCTTTATCGCGAAGTAATATACACGCTGTTATTTGCGATATTATAAATGCGCGCGGTAAAATTTTAAAGAGTAAGTTGATTCTTCTTCTATTTTCTGGCCATTATAAGAGATCTACTATTTGCCGCGAAATTTTTTAACAAATAAACTTTTATTAGCAATGTAGAATATAAGCTGAAATATGTGATAAATATGTGAATAGACAGATTTTTTCAGATTCTAATTTAATCATATTATGACATTAATAACAATTGACGAATTATCATCTGTCAATCTTCTTGTCACGAAGTCACAAAAAATGTAAATAAAAGTCTTAAAATTGTCTGGCAACGCCCTATCTTGGCAACGGCCCTACGATAGTTTGGCGCGCCTCGATACAGTTTAGAATTCTCTCAGTTTAGAATTTCTTGATTCGCGATTCCAGGAATGCACACTCACCCGTTGTGCATTCTTCCACCGCGCGCTCCACGTTGCTGACGATTCACGGCGATCGAGGAGCGACGACACGGTTGCCGTCGAGGGTTGCAATTGTCAATTTGCACGTTTCCTCGGTGCACTCTTTAACACACGCGACACGCGACGGAGGACGAATGATCGGATGCCGGCGACTTTTCTGTCGGCGAAATGTCTTTGCGCGCGTTCGGGAGACCGCGCTAAGGTAATCACCACCGCGCGTGCCTATTCCTCGACCGAATCTGTACGAATTGTGTACGTGCAACGAACCAGGCCACTTCTCTATTTGCCGGATAGAATCCAGCAGACAGCGGTCGGTCACCACCACGGTCCTACTCCTGCGGTGGTTGCTTTTAGAGCGACTCGCACTGATCGACTACGTTAATACGGTGCTCGCGATTCGTGTCCTGCCGCATAGTTCTTTATGAAAGCGCAGAGTGTGCACCGTCCTGGTGGTGGAAAGCTCCCTAAAAGCGCGGAACTGATTCGCGCTGACTCGTGGAAAGGAAACGAGAAGAAGGGAGCGGGAGCCGGGGGAGGGAGAATTGAGAGGAGACGAGAGAGGGGTGGAGGAAAGTTATTTTATCTTACGTTATGTACTCGCCAGGTGAACGAGAAAGAAACACCGAGAGAGGAGTTAGCGGCGAACGTGATGAAGAAGGAGAAGGCGGAGGAGGTGTAGCTCCCGTCCACGTCTTACTTTCCTTTCTCTAAACGAGCCGGCACGGCTGCTGCCCTCGATTCGAGACATCGATTGTGTCTCCCGCCGGTCTCCGAAATACGCGCCGCCGAAAGTGCCGCTCGCTCCGACTCCGACAATGGATGCTTTCTTTCTTCGTTACCTTTCGATTACACTTTCGAGGAGAACGACGCCCGCTGTCGCCGTGGCGGAATCGTTCCACGCGACGTCGATCGAAGGTCTTGCAGGGTAATCGATAATTACGGGATACATCGCGTGAACTTGCGAAAGACAAACTTCGTAAATTGATTCATTATTATAAAAAAAAAGTTTGCAAGATTATTATTTTATTTTTGAAGTATTTGATAGTATAGTTCTCCTCAAGTTTAAACGGATGAATTATAGTTCGTCTGTTACTATCATCATTCACTTTATCTGCATATAAATCAACTTGTGTAACCTCTCGGACAAAGTAGTTTGATGCACTGCAGCTTACACGAATGCGGATTGCAGCATTCTTTATAGCACATTTCCTTTAGTAATAGTAAATAAAGTAACGGTATGGTTTGTAACATTACCTAGATTAAACTTGTTCTTTTATAACACCCGCTGGTTTCTTAAGGTCATAGTCTACTGTCATTCACGTTAGGCTTGATAGTCTGTTCACACTCAGCTCTTCTAAATCTTTGAGTTCAAGAAATATTCAGCCTAGAAATTTGTATCTTTTACGAGCTGGTGCTGATTAACGATATAAAATATATGTTGTATATTGTTCTCTTCTTCCTCTTCGCATAGCTGTCGTTCTTTTTTGCTCAGCTAATTGAGGATTGTAAATAAATGAGCTGCTACGTGATCTTTTAAAATAAATTCTAATTATTATAGTGTTCTTCCTATTCATTGTCAGAAGTCCGGTTGTTCTATTTGGCAAGAGTCGTCTCATTAGCTTGCATCGTCGGCAACCCTCAGCTAACTTGGTGCTCCAGGCAGTCTTTGATGATTCTCTTTTGCCTGAAAATACCACAGTCCGATCATCTGGGTCTATTTTAGTTTCAATCTTAACCAGCCTATCAATCTTCTCATTAAAAATTTCCTGATAATCTATTCCTTTACCGCAGTCGCGAAATTGTAAACGAAGATGCGCGGCACATATTTAATCTTGCTCAACTTTGTACTCGTTATGCAAGTTATCCGCAGAACATTTAGTTCTATTATATAAATTATGAAAGTTATACTAGATATAATCTTTCCAGATACTATAATTGATTGCATAATTGATTTATGTATATCTGCTGGCCCGCGAGGAGTCTGAGTGAAGGATCCGTAATTTACGAGGCTTCGTTTACATGGTGATAATTAGTTCACACGCTGCTTCACGTCTTTTTATAAATTCAGACATAATCACGTGGTCGATAATGTTCGGTTGTCAGTTTAGCGGCCAGCATGATACGATAACGCAATACCGTTGAGAAAGCGCTTTGTGTATACTTCGCCTGGCCGTGAAATCGGTTTTGTTCTGCGATGGTTAATTGACTTTTTTCACGACGGCGAGAAATTAAAATATCGCGAAAAATTGTGATATCGCTATAAACCAGATGACACGAAATTACACCACTTACAATTGCTTAATTGCACGCTTTTTGTTGTCGAAATATCGAAAGGCGAATCCAATCAATCGATCTATAAAGTACACTTGGAAACGTTGATTATAAGAAAGTATAAACAACTTACGAATAAAAAATTATTATTAAAACATGATTCTCTATATTTACTCTTATTTTTATATTGAAAATTAAATTTTTGTCATTAGTTACATCACGTTTAAAACTATATATGATTATTTGTTGCAATTGTCAGCTTTCGCTCTTTGTTTTTTTTGAATTATTTAGATTAGTAAGTTACAATATATACAAAATAAAAATTTTAGGACATTCAATTGAGGAGTACTCCAATTTAATGTTAAATAATATAAATGACAAACGTAAAATTATTCGGAAGACTTAATATTTATTATTATCTATTCCTTTATGTTACGTTCTCTGTTTTACAAAATATGTTCGATCTGTTTTTTATCCACCTTTCACTTTTCTTTTCATGGCTGAAAGTTTTGCCATCGTATATGGAGCACATTCCGGGACGATAGTACTTACGAAAGAGAGATGTTTAGAACGTATCGCCTGGAGCGACATATCTACCTTCTTTCTATAATAAAGAGGCTCCGTGTATGTATGGCTATAAATACATCCTTCTTTGTGAAAAAAATATTGAAATTAATACATTACGATCAATTTACAGCTTGTGTTATGAAATCCTTCCACTTAAAACTGTGAACAAGTTAAAAAATAATTGCGTTTCCGGGTTGTAATAAACTATCATTAAATTTATTCTCCTGTCATTTACTTGGTTTAGTAATAGCATAATAAATGAAGTGAAAAGATTCATTTTAAAATGGACACCCTATACCGTAGCGCAAAACTGGTCAATTAAGCTTGCACGATAAATCGTACATGGGCTCAATCATATATAATTGAGTCTCGAATCGATAAGAATTGAATTGTCTTAATAGTGCACGAGAAAATCGAACGGGTAGCTCCAGTTTCCTTTTCCTGATCCGTTTAATATCGTTTCTGCAATCTCGCGAATAAATAATTCAACTAGAACGTTAACTAGTGTCCTTTCGATTGCACATATTATATGTGCACAAGAAAAAACGTGAATAAATAAACGTTTATAAAAAAGAGATTGAATGTAATAAACAATTTTTAGAAAGAGACATTCTCTTTAAAAAAATGTTAAAATTGCTCAATCTGATTGCAACTTTACGTAATACTTAAGTTTTAATTTTTTAAATTACTAGGTATTTAGTCTCAATTGACAATTCAACATTTTGTAATATATATAAAAGAAAAACTGTTGTCGGAAATCTCATTTAAAAATCTCTTTCTTCGCAATTTTTTGTCTCTCGTACGCGATAATTTTCTAATTATTGCATACCAATTTCACGATTATTCAATTCAGCCGGTCTGATAAATATGTACTTCGCGTGTGATTACCTGGATGAAAAAACCTAATCTGTAATTGCCGCGTTACTAACTGTAAGGTTGAGAGGTCTCATGGATAGAAAAACGGACGCGGGCATACTTAATAAGCAAGCCTACTCACGCGACGAAATCTCACAAGCGCGCCACTAGCAGATTTATACGCTCCTTTAACGGGATGAAGAGAACAATTAAATGATTGGCGCAACTTGCGGCGTTCCCGCGGCTAATAAGCGAGAGCCGCGACCGATTGGACACCTTTTGAGAGAGAAAGAATTTACGGTACGTTGACTCCCCTCGCGCGCGCGCGAATAATGTATGGATATGGAACGAGACGTAAAGTTTGACATGCCGCCTTTAGTTCGACAGACTTGTTTTTACGTAACTTGGCGCTGGCGATTTTTGTCGATAAGCACCGGGACCGAAAATGTCAGATTCGTCGGTAAACACGCTTCAATAGCCACGGGAAATAGAGTAAGAAGGATCTGATGACAAAATCGCGCGATTCAAGGATACAAAAAACGAGCTTAATCATTGCAAGTCGTGCATAAGTCGTGCAATTTGCATGCGTTTTTAGGAATATATTAAAGACTCTATTTCGATCGCTTAACATCCGAGAGATGCATTCGATTTCTTTCCTTGCACGAATTAAAAAAAGACCCGAAATACAAATATACAAATATAAAAACTAAAAATAAAATAATTGCTTAACTTTAAACTAATTAAACGTAAAAAAACTAAATCTTTTTTTATTTGACGCTTTACTTAAACTCATGCATATATTTTACGACTGATCTGATTATTCCAACGAGAATCTGAATATTGCCACGAGGCATTAAAATAAAAACGGAGTATTTAGTGCACATTCCGCGCATGTTGCGTCAGTGACTTTAAAGTGTTACGTCTTTTACAACGAATTTCTTTCTCATTCTTTCTCATTCTTTTTGTGAACCAAGAGAAGCTTATACTCCTTGCTCCGCTATCCTTTTCGACGATTACAATATGAGAACAAGGTTGATCCGCATCACATCAACAAAGAAATTCGGATACTTGACGTGTGCATTTTTCGATTGAGATGTTGCGCGTGTGGTCGGTAATTTTAAATGACAGAAAGCCACACTTTATTAAACGCCCGACGTGCGCGGGAATTTGCATGATCACAGGGTGACGAGGTATTCTCGGGTGGCCTCGCCTTTCCTTCCTCGCGAACGTCATATTGATTTCGGCCTTTAATTTCGAAATTTGCAAGATATGTATACATACGTATAATACCTGTGTAATTGCGTACAATGTAGCAGAGTACAACGCGCCGGCAATGAATCGCCATGTTCTGAATTCTATTAAAAAGCCGTTGTACAACATTTATTTGATCTCGCAATCTGAGGGATTTTTACATTAAAAAAAAAGCGAACGAAAAAGTATGTTAGTAAAATTGACGAATTGTAAAGATGATATAAATATACTTATATGATATCGTAATGTATACCTCTTACGTAATATCGTGATGCATATCTCTTATGTAATATTAAGATGTATCTTCCTAAGAAGGTTTCTCAAGAAATTGATCGATGTGTAAGCGATAGAGTCTGTGTCGGCAGATAAAAAAAATTGTTACGGTTGTTCTCATAATGACGTGCATACATTTCTTACACAGTGACAAAAATTAGAGAGAAAAAATATTTGGGATCACTTGAATTTACTTGAAATATATG